ATGAAGCTTAAAGTTCAACTTTTCGAAGTGAAGCGGTTTTAACATTAAAAGAAAAAAATGATGTTCTTAGCGGGCCGCAATTTACGGCCAGCCTACAAATAGTTTAATTACTTACTGCTTCGTCAAGAAAAGCCAAGTTACTCAAAGACACACATTATAAAGACTTGTAGTTATGTGATTTTGCAGTTCAAAGGATTAGACAAAGACATGATGATGTGGGCTACTTCATTTTATTAATTATTTCCACTTTCTTTATTGTCTGCCTTTGCTGTTGGCCTCAAAGCTCTTCTACACGCATCTGTTTTAGGGAAACCCACAAAAATATCTAGGAATTACATACAAATGGGTTTTTTACTAGCTTTACGACATAGACTAAATGTTTACAGGAAGAAGCAATGATCATTTTATCTGATTGAAAAATACTGACTAATACAACTGTACACATTTGAAGTCAGTATTACATATGTCAATGTAGTTGAAGAATGAACGATCGATTCATGTTTGTTTACTTAAAACCAACTCCATATTTTGACGGGAGTCACCGATACTGCAGTCATCGCTCCATCGTACGCTGTCCGTTAGAAGACGGAGAAATACTATCAGAGGTATTACTGTGATTAATTGTTATGATATTTATTCTTAGACTTTGTGTATAATAACGTTATTGTTAATAATAATAATAATAATGTATTTCATATAAATTTACAAATTTACATGAAAATGCATGCCATTTTTACAGGCACGATCAAGTATGATATAATATCAAATCGTAGATTGTCTACAAGTTAATCGTATTTCAACTGTTAAATATTCGATACATATAATACACTCATTTTCTGAATTAGGCCGCATAGTTATTGAATTGTACAGTTGTCCTCCAGGTTGAGCGGGAAAATCGACTTCGTTCCGTTTTCATCCCGTGGTTGTAGGCATACGATAACCAACCGATATTGAGGTAAGTACACCTTTTACAAAGGATTGGAATCTGTTTTAGAAAAATTAAAGTGCTGAGGTGAATCATTAAATTGTAATGAAATAGGTAAGTGCAAGTATCATTAATAAATGCATTAATAAAGGAAACACCCTAGGGTAACAACATTCATTTGCAATGTATAATGCTACAGATATATCACAAACTATCATGATATCCACTTTTGGTTTTAATACAATTATCCTCATGCCAGTTGTTTTTATTTTATACCTTTTTGTGCATTTAGTGCACAACCGTACCCTTCAGAGAGTAGGAGTATAATAAGTAATGAAGAGCTATAAGATGTTAAGTTTAATGGAGTAAAATGAGGATCAAGTAAAGACGTTGTCAGAAAAGAAATGAGATAAGACATTGTGGAGTGGTATGAGAAGATCTGACGATAGACAGCAAGTTAATTTATAAGATGCCCCATAAATCTGAGCACATCCCACGTGGTCGCATCTCAACAATAGGCTGGGTGAATGGTATATATTTAAAGGTAGAAGCATGATCTGTCAAGGCGTTCATTGTTATCTTTTTCAAGATAAAGCTTTAAGCCCTCATAAAAATCAGAAATATCTCGAGCCTTCAAATTTTTTAATGCTGTTCCTGCAGAATGGGGCGATTCACCTTAGTGACCCCCACCATATCTACTGATCAGCTAACTCCACCCTCCCACCTTTTTTGATGTTAGGCTCTGAGACTATGATTATTATGGTTACCGCAAATATATTGCTTGGTACCAGACATGTTCGTACCCCATATTCCATCTCCCTAGCTTTCTTAATGAGTGCTTCCAATAGGTCCCCGCGTACATCTTTATGAACATATTATATATGTATGCATGCGTCCTAATGAACAGATTACTTTATAAGAAGTCAAAAACCTTGAAGAATAACAAGAATAGGTTTTGTGAATAGTGGAGCAAGATTCAGCAGAACAATATAGTTAGGGTTCAATATAGGTAGTATGAACTGAAGGTAAGGTCGGTTGGCAGGACCAAGTGTACTAAATTATCATGACAGTTTTATATATAGTAAACATTTGACATTGCAAAGTAACCTGTCTACATATATTATAAAAAGATATTAGCAGAACCAACAAAATTTCAGCATTTGGTTAACAATACTACAGAAAGTTAGTGAGTCTTACAGATAGCCGTAAAGTAAATCAATCTATGTATAATAAGAGTGTAATCAGTGTTATAATTCGTATTATCAAAGAATACATTAGGCTCAAAAACTGAATGTTATAAGGGAAATAAGAGTGATAAACTAAGGGAACATTTGCTGCGTAAGTAATCATTTTAAGTATTTTAATGATAATCTAATTTCAAGTATTGAACATGCATAATTACTAAGTATTATTAGGTTAGTCTAGGAACTAGTGTACTGTCCGTAGTTAAATATTGAAATGTCATGGTTTCACCACTCTACCAGCAGTTGTCATCTTTTAGACGGTTAGGGTGGACATGTTAATATGTTTTTCTAGGCTCCTTTTGAAACTGTCAGGCCTTTCACAGGATCTAATCTCAGAGGGTAGTTGGTTCCAAAGTTTGCAATATTTAATGGTGAAAAAGTTAGCTCTAGTGGTGAGCTTATGGGTGTTAACCTTGAGAAGGCAGTTATGGTTGTTCATACGATTTAGGATTAGCCCAGGCTATAGACGAGTTACTGTTACAGTGCTTTCTTATAACTTTGAATAAGAGAAATAAATTGCACTTCACCCTCCTTAACCATAAGGGTTCTAAGTCCAGTCGAATACATCTGTCAAGGTATTCTATTTGCTGATCATAACCTAATATGCGTTTCGTCAGGGATCTTTGGACACTTTCAACTTTTTTTCTGTCTGCTGATTTAAAGCTACTGTATAAGTGGGCACAGTATTCAAGTTTGGGGCGAATGCATATCTTATATATGGCTAATCTGGCTTCTGGGGTTTAAAAGTTGCGTAGCACAAAGCCGGTTAGACGTTTACAATCAGATACCACCTTATTTGCATGTTCAGTAAAGGTAAGATCTGAGTATGTTACCCCGAGATCTGTGACTGTGTTCGTGTTTGAGACAAGGTCACCGTGCATGTATAGACACATGCTAGGTTTCCAACGTCCGAAGTATGTTATCCCAGATTTAGCTGGATTGGACATTAACTGCCACTTTTCACTCCAATTACATAGACTATTTAGGTCTTCTTGGATTTTACTAACAATATTCATATCATTATAGTCGAAATCATAGACAACTTTGAGGTCGTCTGCAAAGAGGTATGGCTTGCCATACTTGATCATAGAAACAATATCATTTATGAATACAATGAATAGGGTAGGGCCAAGAACACTACCTTGTATCACGCCGCTGGTTATCGGTTTGGATGTTGATAAGTGATGGTTGACTTTAACTAACTGTTCTCTTCCTGTAAGAAAAGAAGTTATCCACTCAAGTAGCCTTCCACTTATTCCATAAGATAGGAGTTTCAATATGAGTCTCTTATGTGGGACCTTGTCAAAAGCTTTCCTAACGTCTAGAAATAATGTTGCTGCTGAACGACCTTTGTCTACACACTCAGTAATGTGGTCGAAATAATCTAATTGGCAAGCAATGCACGATCTTCTATTTAGGAAACCGTATTGGAAGGCGGATATTAAGTCATTCGAGAGCAAAAACTGAACAATTTGCTTCTTTATAATCTTTTCCATCACACGTGAAACTACGGGAGTAATGTTGATGGGGCGGTAATTATCTATGTCCGCTATAGGCCCGGTTTTGTGAATGGGTACAACGTAAGATTTCTTCCAGCTATTTGGATATGTTCCACTCCTTATCGAAGTTGAAAATATCTTGAGAAGAAGTAGATTCATGTCATTTCCACCCTTTTTTAAGAGGACAGAAGACATTCCATCTGGGCCGGGAGTATTAGTAAGCTTAAGAGTTGTGGTAGCTTTATCGATTTCTTGGGCGTTAAAGACTACATCGCTTAAACACTTTTCTGTTTTACGAGGGAAATCTATATCCTGGTCGTTTTCTAGAGTGTACAATTTAGCAAAGTGCGTGCTAAACACCTCACATATATCCTCATCACTTTCGTGAGTAATGCCACCTAGGTGTATTATTTTTGGATATGTTGATTTGGAGTTAGTTAACCTACTTTTGAAGAGTTTGGCTATTTCTCCAGTGTTATGTGGCGACTGAATTGCCCGCGTCTCTTTATTTCTAAGACTTAGATTTTTTAACTCATGGATTCTAATGAGGATTGTTTTGATAGCTATTAACGACGATAAGTCGTCATGTCTGTAGTAACTTAATGAATGCTTCCGCATACTTCTTCTTAATGATATTGGAATAAAATCACCTTGAGGAATTTTGAATTTAATCAGTTTCACAGT